ACCCCCTGCCCCAGCGCCGCCCCCCTTCTCCGGCCCCGCTCCAGCCCCTCCGTGTCCTTCGGGCAGGGACGGGACCAAAACGCACCCAGGGCTCGAGCTGTGGCCTCGCCAGCGCCCAGCCCAGGGGCACGAGCCCTGCCCTGCTCCTGCTGGCCACGCTGCTCCTGACCCCGGCCCTTGGCCACCTGGGCACACCTGGCTCACGTTCCGCCGGGTGGCCACCAGCACCCCAGGCCCAGTATCACCAGGCCCCTTTCCAAGCCTGTAGCATTTCTGTTGTGCTCTCTCATAAATACGCACAAACATCCAGTCCTGAAGCAAATCAATTCTCACCCAACCTGGGCTCATAGGAAAAGAAAAGCAGCACCGAGCCCGGAGTTTCTTCAGGGCAGAGCTTTCTCACAGCTCATCCCCAAGTTTGGTTGTGAGCCTGCGCTACAGCAGTGGCTGCTCACTCTGATGTGCAAAGCTGAGCAACACCAATATGTAAAACTTAATTTTAAACTTACTTACAGTGGCTGTAGTTATTTGTATTGTAAATTCTTAATTGGAAATTGGGCTTATATCAAGTTTGTGTCAGTGATGGGGTGTCTTTGATGCATGGTCTGTCACTGTTTCAATCTTAGACTTAGAGCAGATTCAAGCTGTACTTGCAATTTAATACCTTCTTTTTTTTTTTCCTATATGCTTTAGGTCAGAATATGAAGCGTGAGTCTGGAAGAAAAGTCCAGACTGGAAACATCACTGCTGCTAAGGTACTGTATTGGCTCTTCAGGCTGTTTGGATCCTCTCTTTCTTTTCTCTTTCTTTTTTAAGCTTGTTTTATACATATATTTATATATTTAAGAGGAAAAAACAGACCTGGAGCAGATTTTCTTTAGTCTGTACGAATCCAGAGTAGAAGCAGTGTAGAAACCTAAGTTGCAGTGTTGAAGTGACAGATGCAGTGCAAGCTGAACCTGCATAAACTTCTTTCTCAGCAAAATCTGAAAGCATCGCAGTTTTGGTGTCTGATTTAGATCCTTTAGTGTGATGCAAAGCTCTGATAATCACTGCGCTCTCGTTCCCCCACAATTCTTGACTTGTGCTGCGTCTGAGCAACTGCAGAGTCGCTTCAATTTGACAGCAGCCGCTTGTTTCGTGTGGACAGGGGGGTTTTTTAGACTTTTTGATGCCCTCCTACATCGCCTAATTCCTTTGTGCTCCTCCTAGACTATTGCTGACATCATCCGGACGTGTTTAGGGCCAAGAGCGATGATGAAGGTAACGGTTTTTGCTGAAGTAACCCCTGCTGCCTGGGATCCCTGCATGTGCAAATACTCCTTTTCTTTCGGTTGCAGATGCTTTTGGACCCCATGGGCGGGATCGTGATGACCAACGACGGCAACGCGATTCTTAGAGAAGTAAGTTTCTCCCCCAGGATTGTCTCCTTTAACGTGCGAGTCGGCGTACGCCGACATAGCAGCCCATAACTTCTGCCTTGAGAGCCAGCGAAACGGCAGCTCCACGAAGTTAAATATTTCCAACAAACTCTTTTCCTCCTTGGAAAAACAAGTTTGATCCCAGTGTGGTAAGTTCTTATGGAGGTTTTACAACACTGGTGTAAGTTTGTGTCTGTAATCCCTTGTGTTTTGCAAGACCAAGAAGAAATCGTTGTCGTCTTTCTGGTGCTGTCCAAGTGACCTCACAAAAATCGTAACGCCTGAGAAACTGGGAGACAAGATATTGTGAAACGGAAGGGCTTACTTTTGGTCTCAAAAAGGGAAAAAAAAAATAAAGTAATCTTTGCTACGGTTGGGCAGAACGCGTTGGAATTTCACTTGTGTTGTTCTGGCACGAAACCCTTGATCCTCCCCATACAGATCCAAGTCCAGCACCCGGCTGCAAAATCCATGATCGAGATCAGCCGGACTCAAGACGAAGAAGTCGGAGATGGGACCACATCTGTCATTATCCTGGGTAAGGAGACTCAACAAGATGAGGCTTTTTGAAAGGGGCTAAGGCTCGAGTTTGCCTCGTTTTGCTCAGCAGGGCCTTGTAAATGTGTCTTAAAAACCCCTTTGTGTCCCTTAGACCTTTCGCTGATCGCTCTGTGTCTTGAAAAGTTGTGTTCTTCCTCTTAAATAAGCACAGCTGAGTACAAAAAGAGGTCCAGCAGATAATTTATATTTGGTGTGCTGTTCTGTCGTGACTGTTGATCGTTCTGCTGACTTCTCTGGGCAATTTTAGCATTTATTTTAATTTTTTTTTTTTTTTTGAAGCTGGAGAGATGCTCTCTGTTGCCGAACACTTCCTCGAGCAGCAGATGCACCCGACTGTGATCATCGGGGCTTATCGTAAGGCTCTGGATGACATGATCAGCATCCTCAAGAAAATCGGGTACGTTAGAGGCGGGGAGGGTTTCCGTGCCACTTTGAGGCGATTCGTCGGGGAATCGTGTTGTTAAAAAGGGGTTTAATGAATCGGAGAGGGACTCGGTGGCGTTACGGGTTGTAGCTTGGAGTAAGACTTCGAGTTGGCTGGTTTTTCTTCTGGCCAGTACTCCGGTGGACGTGAACAACAAAGAGATGATGCTGAAAATAATCAAGAGCGCTATAAACACCAAGGCCATCAACCGCTGGTCCGACTTGGCCTGTAGCATCGCCCTCGACGCCGTGAAGACCGTGGAGTTCGAGGAAAACGGCCGGAAGGAGATTGATATTAAAAAATATGCCAAAGTGGAAAAGGTGGGTGTGTCCTGGGTGCTCCGTGCTCGTTGTGAATTCATTACTTCACGAAAAACTTTGTGCTGCGGGTGTGTAGCCTGCGAGTGTAACCTTTGCAGTTATTTTGGTCGAGGCCGTCAGCCTTGCCGGCTCCCGGTCAAACTGCAGGGGCAGTTCTTTCAACTTTTTTTTGGAATATTTGTCAAAAAAGATCACGGCAGTTGTTTCGCTTTCCATCTTTCAAAACCGCGTTTCCGGGCAGGTGGAGGTGAGCAGCTTCTTGAGTCCTTCCACAGCTTTTCACCGAAATTAAGTCGGTGGGCTTGTAAAATTAACTCCGATTGTGACCTGCCTTGTGGTCGCTTGGGAGGATTTTCATGGAAACAGGAGGTTTCAGGAGCACGAATCGATGGGTTTTCCTGGGCTCACCTGCCTCGTTTCCTGCCTTCCTCTTGTCTCGTCAGATTCCGGGCGGTTTTTGCGAAGACTCCTGTGTTCTGCGTGGGATCATGGTGAATAAAGATGTAACTCACCCCAGGATGCGGCGCCTGATTAAGAATCCGCGCATCGTCCTCCTCGATTGTTCCCTAGAGTACAAGAAAGGAGAGAGCCAGGTAAAGCGAGAGATATCCACACCTTTGGATTTAGGAATGGTTTATTTATCAGGATTTTTCAGGGCCAGGGATCCGTGTCTGACTTGGTGCAGGGTCAGGAGGAACAGAATGGGAGATTTTTTTTCACCTTTTTCTCTGCAGACCGACATTGAAATAACACGGGAGGAAGATTTTGCCCGCATCCTGCAGATGGAGGAAGAGTACATCCAGCAGATCTGCGAGGATCTGATGAGAGTCAAACCTGATCTGGTCATCACTGAGAAAGGGATTTCTGGTACTAGCGCAGCACGTGATGCTTCTTTTGTGTCGAATTCATCTCACTAAGGTTCCTACTGTGTTAAATGCACTGTTCAATAACTTAAAAAAAAAAAAAAAACAGGAAAAAACCCAACCAAAACGAAAAAACCCACCCAAAACTCCCCACAAACCTGATCTTTAATGCAGTTTTGGTTTTGACTTTTGAGCAATTAGTTTCCCATCGCAGGAATTGCGGTTGGTTCTTGACGTTGCCTCGTGAACATGGACGATTAGGAAAACATTTTGCTTTTTTTTAGCATTTGGAAACGGTGTCAAAATCCAAGTGGGGATGAATCTAGTGAACTGTGGGAAGCTGCGCTGTCGTTTTGCCTCGCAGCCTGGGTCAAGAAGCCCCTTGGGGTTTTTTTTTCTTCCCATAATCCTTTTTTACTTTAAAGACGACTAAAGTTTGTCGCGATAAAATTACCCGAACCTCCTTTCAGACTTGGCCCAGCACTACCTGATGCGAGCCAACATCACCGCCATCCGCAGGGTGAGGAAGACCGACAACAACCGCATCGCCAGGTAAACGCCGGCTCCTCGCCGGAGCTCCTTCTCGCCCTCCGTGACGCGGAGTTTTCATTTTTATCTCCCCCTTTCTCCCAAATTCTTTCTTGTGAGCCTCTCGCTCGAATGTTTGCTTGCCAGGGCGTGCGGCGCTCGCATCGTGAGTCGCACGGATGAGCTGCGAGAGGAGGACGTGGGCACCAGAGCCAGGCTCTTTGAAGTGAAAAAAATAGGAGACGAGTATTTCGCCTTCATCACCGACTGCAAAGAACCCAAGGCTTGCACCATCATCCTGCGGGGAGCCAGCAAGGAAATCCTGGCGGTGAGTTACTGTGTGTTGCGCTTCTCCGGCCAGGGCGTTGTGAAGTTGTCGTCGTGGCGGGGTTTCTGGAGCCCCAAAGAAACCCAAAAAAATGCATTTTTTGTTTTATTTTGTTGCAGGAGGTGGAGCGGAACCTCCAGGACGCCATGCAGGTGTGTCGCAACGTCCTCATCGACCCGCAGCTCGTGCCGGGAGGGGGGGCCACCGAAATGGCTGTCGCCCACGCGCTGACGGAGAAGTCCAAAGGCATGACGGGCGTGGAGCAGTGGCCCTACCGGGCGGTGGCCCAAGCTCTGGAAGTCATCCCTCGCACGCTGATCCAGAACTGCGGCGCCAGCACCATCCGCGTGCTCACCTCGCTGAGGGTAAGGCGCTGCGGCGCTAGGACCGGAGGACAAGGACCTGGCAGAAAAGGACCTGGGTGTTGTGATTGCCAGCCGGCTGAATACGAGCCAGCAGTGAGCCCAGGTGGCCAAGAAGGCCAACGGCATCCTGGCCTGTATTGGAAATGTTGTGACCAGCAGGAGGAGGGAGGTGATTGTCCCTCTGTGCTCAGCACTGGAGAGGCCACACCTTGAGTGTTGTGTTCAGTTCTGGGCACCTCAGTACAGGAGAGATCTCGAGGTGCTGGAGCGAGGGCAGAGGAGGGAACAAAGCTGGGGAAGGGCTGGAGAACAGACCTTGTGAGGAGCGACTGAGGGAGCTGGGTTTGACAGTTTGACCAAGAGGAGACTGAGGAGGGGTCTCATCACGCTCTACAGTTACTTGGAAGGACGTTGCAGAGAGGTTGGTGCTGGTCTCTTCTCACAGGGAATCAGGGACAGAACCAGGGGAATGGTTGCAAGTTGCAACAGGGCAGGTT